CAGTGCTGTCTCAGGGAATTGGTGGGGACAGAGCCCTGACAGGCCATCTCAAGTCAGAGGGGACACCACCCCTCTAGAGGCAGCATCTATGCCTATAGCTTCCTCACAACCACATCTGGTTTTCAGGGAAAACTGGATACCTTGTGTGACTTTGTCCAGCGCTGCAACCAGATGTCATTGATGTGGTGTCCACCCAGGGACATGGTAAGCAGGGCACAGGGATGCTCCCCGTGGGCTGGGGTCTTGCTTTTGCCCTTGACAGTTGCCCCTGGGACTGTGGGTCAGAGAGCCCTCTCCGGGCATCTGCCAAGAGGAACGCCCAAGGCATGGAGACCTGGAGCTCATGAGCCTGCAGACGATTCTCAACATGGTGCCTGTGCATTTCCCCTGCGTCCTCGTCTCAAGGATGTCAGGACCTTTCTTCTCCAGAGCAATGCCCAGCAATTCCAATCTTAAGCGAAAAGGGCTGGAGAGCCCTATTGGACTCCCGTCCATCGTCCCTCCCCACTGCCTACCTGACCCTGTGGGACTGCTGGCTGCACCCCATCCATGAGACAGTCCTGGACTGCTCACTCAGCTGCAGGAGTGGTGGAGGACATGGTGACACCCCCTCCCCAATGTTGTCTGGTCAACACTGACTGGTTTTACCAGGTAGTAAAGATGCCCTCCTTGTGTCAGTGCCTGTGACAGTGGGGAGAAGCCCAATTTCTCCACTTGTCATCCTTGTTATTTAATAATAATAATGATAGATAATTTTATTGTGTCCTTTCTGTGGGTCAGTTGCTCAAGAATTTTACATGTTTTCACTGCTTTAATCCTAGTAACTGTACAGGTAGATACGACTATTATCCCAGCTTTACAAAGAGGGTACTGACCCACAGAGAGGCTGAGTGACTTGTCCCAGGTCACAACAGCTGGGAGGGGCAGAGCCAGACTTGAATTCTGAGCCTGGGCCCACCTTTCTCACTGGTCTGCCCTGCTTTTGGGTCAGCACTCATGGTCTCATGATGGTTACCCCCAAACTACCAGACTCTGCCCTCCTCAGGACCCTGGGGCCCAAGGAGGGCAGTGATTCGCCTGAAAATCATCTGCCTGGCCATTCCAAACTCAGACCCTTTGCACAGACCTGGCCAACCCTATAGTGACGGATGCGCTCACCACCTTCACTAAATCAGACAAACATTGGCTCTTGGTGGCTGGGCAGGTGGGCGTTTGGAAACTCTAGACAGGCCTGAAAGCCTCTGGACACTGCTGGTGACATACCTGAGGCATGCTCACACCCAGCAGAGACACTGTCTGGTGACAGTGGTGTCAGGGCTCCTTTGGCAGCTGGGCTCCCAGTTCCGGGTCTGAATCGAGCTCTGAGTCCCAGCCTTGATTGCACAGAAGCCCCATTTTCCACCTGATTCTCCTGGAGCCTCTCCCAGAACCAGCCCCTTTATAGTCATAAGAGCCCCACCCCAGCCTTATGCCCTGAACAGTGGAGACACCCACCCAGAGATGCTCACTCAGGATCAGGAGGGACAGAGCAAGACAGAGGGCTGAAGCAGAGGGAGACAAGAGACAAGAGGGTGGACAAAGGGAAGATGCCAGGTATGGCCTTCCTGCCCAGCAAGGTAAGGGCAGGGGCGCTGAGCACCTCTCTGAAATGGTCCCATTTCCAGGGCCACTCTTCGAAGCTCAGGTTGCGGAAGTGGCAGAGTGATGGATTAGGGGGCCTTATAGCTGCCCAGGGCTCTGCCAGGCCCCTGCAATGCCAGCTCTCGAGTCCGCCCAGTAGTCTGTGGCTCACAGTGACCTGTGTGCTCGCTGGAGGCAAAACTGAGGCCTGACACATCAGGGGAGTTGCCAGGAGCACCCAGAGAGTAAGTGGCAGCAGCCAGAGCTGCCTGAAATCAACCCTGCTCATCCTGAGAGGGGCTGGGAGCCGGTAACTGAGCCTGGTGGATGTGACCCCTCCCACTCCTCTGCCCCCATCCCATTTGACCTTGTCCCTCCCAACCTTAGTCCTGGAGACCTAGTGTTGTAGGATTTCTGTGGATACCCCAGGATTCCAGTAGGTGCAGGAGTGAGTCCTGATTCCTTTCTTGAAGGCCTCAGTGCTCTGGTCCCAGGCTTAAAGTTAATCTTGGTCTAAGTGACGGGGTGTCAGCTGGGATCTACAGTCTCTGCAGACCACAGTCGGCCCCCAACCCCAGCCCTGAGCATGCAGACGTAAGTCTTTCGTCTGCTCACTGCAGACCACCCCATGTTCTGCTCAGACAGAACCTTTCCCAGACCCTCTTCACCAGGCTGTGCTGGAAAACAGAAGCCGCAGGAGAGGGGGTTCCCAGCAGCACAGGTGCACAGCCTCTCTCTCCTCCTTCCAGTTCCCGATCCACAGGGAGGTTGTTTCCAAACTCCTCATCCTGGACTGGAATTGCAGTCAGGCCTGCGGATGTGAACGTGCTCAGAATGTGAACTGTGGAGTCTGGGGTTGAACTTGTAGGAGCTACTGCCTTCTAAAACCTCAGTCAGCTGCTCGTTGCAGTGAATCCAGATGTTTCTGCACTTCAGCACAATACAATGCAGAAAATTCTCAAAGGCTCAGTTTACCAAAAATCTCAGTGTTTTTGTAGCAGAAGCAGTCATTCTTGTTTACTGTAACCTTCTGTGAAATGACCGTGTCTCTCTGCCCCACCGCATTCTCATCCCCAGAGGAAGTTTTCTAATAATGGTCCCTTCCAGACCATCTCTCCCTACACACATATACAAAATGATGCAGCAGGACTCAGTTTAGTTTCTTAGTCTTGAGCCAAAGCCTGCCCGCAATCCAAGGTCCTGATTCTCTTCCTTCCTTGCCTTTTCCAGGGCAGCCCATTCAGTTCATGGAAATCAGTTCTCCTAGATCCGTCAGAAAAATCGGGTAAAAATGGGAAACCTTCCACTTCTCACTGAATGTGATGCTGACAGTGATACAACTGTCTCCAAGAGAGTGTGACCTGGGTGCCACCACCATGCAAGGCCCTTTACACAAGGATCTCATTCATTCTCCCAACAGCGGCCGTTTATACAGAGTAGGGATCGCCAGACACTGAGTACTTTACACAGGCTCACTCTTTTCATCCTCCCAACACTCTGCGGGGGAGGAAGCTGACGCCTGCGCAGTTGAGTCACCTGCCCAGCCGCATAGCATGAAGCAGTAAGACCAGTACCAACAGCTCAGGGCCCAGACCTCACCCTGTGCTTGGCTGCCTCTCTGTCCTGCCAGGTGATCACTCCTCTGCATTCTGAAGCTGAAGAAACCGAGGTTCTGATGTTTCATGATGGGCTCAATGGGACAGAGTTCTGGAGGGGTACAGCAGGGCTGTGAACAGAGCCCAGGGAGGCTCACTTCCAAGTCCAGGCTACGGCTCCTGTAACCTGCTATCACGGTGATAGGGAAACAACTGGAAAGTAATTCCTTCCTCTGTGCAGTGTGTTAGATGTGCAAACAATTATGAATGCTAATTTCTTATTTTCACACTGTGTTGCTTGCAGACCTCCTCTAAATATGAACACATAAATATTTACTGGAAACAATTGTCCTGGGTAAAGACCAGAGCTGCAGAGAGGCCATATGATGCATTCATGGCCAAGGAGCTCCTGAGTTCCTATCTTTTGACCCCACCCACAGAGGGAACACCAAGGCGTGTGTGATAAAGCTGGGGCAAGACTTGAGCCCTCCAGGAAGTCCCAAGTTGACAGATGTCCTTCAAGACAGTGACCTTTGTGAAAGTCCCAGATCATAACTTTGGGACAGTGATGGCAGCCTGCTCCTCCATGCTCGACAACCCTCACCCCCTACTCCTCACACACACACAGACCCTCTCACACACGTTCACACATACAGACACGCTCACATGTACACGTGCGCACACACTTCCCTCTGTAATAAGCAGGAAATCCAGAAATGGAACCAAAGCTCCAAAGCACTGGAGATTAAGGTCCAATCAACCATTTGCCAATGTCTTAAACATCCCTTCACTGTGGAGTCGCTGAGTTGATGTAAGAAGTAATTGGTCACTGGCTTAGATCTCTTCATTAATAGAAAACCAGAGGGGAGGGAGACCCTCACCCCCTTATGAACACACAACAGACTCAGGGGCTCTGCCACTACCCAGGGGCCTCCACCACCACCTGGAGCCACTCGCTTCTCTCCCTCAGCCCACGTACACGTCCCCCTGCAGCTCCCAGTGATGGGCTGCGGCTGAGGGAGAGGAGCCAGGCCTCAGCACAGGTGCCCTGCAGTCGTGCTTTGAGGAAATCAAAGGGGTCCTACAGCAGATGGTAGACACTAGGTCTAGAACAGTCTGTTCACGGTCTGGATAAATAAGCAGAAATAAAGGAGCTTAGAAATAAAAATAGAAGATCCCAGTCTATTCACAGTAGCAATAAAAGAACTTACCGCACGCAGGTGTGACAACGTGTGCTGACCTGTAATAAAAAGAAACCACAAAACTTTACTCTTTGCTATAAAAGAAGACTTGAAAATACAAAAACCTAGACCACAATGTCAGCTTTTCCCAAAAGAATTCATGGGCTTAATGCTGCTTTAGTGAAAATTGCAATGAATATTTTTAAGGAATTTGATCAAAATGATTCTAAAATTCACCTAAGTAAATGAACTGTTAAGAGTAGTTAAGGAATTTGGGGTGCAGTCCTAGGGCAGGAAGGGTGAAGGTCCTGCCAGTGAGGGAGACCCTGATGGTGGGCTTGAGAGAAGAGGGAACCAGCTCCAGTGCCCTGGGGGCTGTGTGGCCCAGGCGCTCCCAGACTGACTTGCGGGAGGGCAGAGGCGGCCTCAGAGGATACGTAGTCTGGATATGGGAAACGGAGAGGCAGGGAGGACAACCCTGGAGCAGAGGAGCACAGAGGGTGCAGCTGAGACAGGGACACTTTGGGTGCGTTGCAGGCGGTGTTGGCAATGGGCCAGGAGCCGGCGGTTGGGTGGCCTGGTGGGCCAGGCTGGGCACTGGGGCTGGATTCCCAGGTCGTGAGGAAGCACAGCTGAAGGTGTGAGTTGAGGAAGAGGAAGCCAGAGGAAGTTGATTCCGTGAGGCCTGGATTGGGGGGGGAAGGGAGGAGGGGAAGGGCCAGGTGACCAGGGGAGGGGAGACACTTGAGTCGGCCTAGGAAGGGAGCTGAGGGCCTGGACAGGCAGTGGGTGCAGAGCACGGAGGGGCAGCTGGAGACACTCGTGGCTCAGGACAGGGTTCGGGCAGAGTGGGCCCCGAGGCTGGGCCTGGGGACCTAGAAGCTGAAGAGGCCTGCAGAGTAGGAGGCAGGGGAGGTGAGCTTGGATGACACAGGACCCGCAGGAAGGTGGCAGGAGAGGGCAAGCCTGGGCCGTGCGTCTGGAAGGAAGAACGGCCAGCTGGGGGTGGAGATCAGAAAAGGGGAATTGCTGATAAATGATCAAAGACGTTGCTGTCTGCCAAGAGTTCAGGATCCCCTTCATAGTGGTTATTGTGGGTGGTTGGAAAAGAAGCATGTATTTCCTCGTATTTTCCTGCGTTGCTTAGGTTCTCTATAATGGGCAGGTACTACTTTTATAATCAGGAAAAGTAAAAATGTTTATCTGTAAAAGAGAAACTATTAACTTATTGAAGCCTAAGGTGATTTTACATAGAAAGTTGCTAGAAAGTGACATTTACCAAACTATCTCAGGCTTGTCATGCCGGGGAAAGTCAGTGTGAGAAATCCCTTCCCATCTCTGGGTCTGGTTCTGCTCTGCGCCAAGAGGTGCAGGTCCCAGAGCAGGGTGTATTTCCTGAAAGTTTCATCAGATCAGACATCGCTGTGGGTATGGAAGAGGACAAGGTCAGGCTCAAGGTGTCGAAGATTTGTCAAGAACATTCTTTCAAATTCAAGGGGGGTTAGGTGTTCTCTTTTCCTAATGTGGCTACATTACCAGGGAAAACCACGATCATTCTAAAGGGTTACTAAGGATTTTAAAACCTAGGGTGATGAAAATGACAGCCTCAGGAGCAGCAGGCAGCGTTCAGCGGCCTTTGGCACTCACAGGCGCTCAAGGTAATACTCCACGTGTGAATGGCAGGCTCACGGAAGCCTGAAGTCTGCACAGCACCTGGAGCACCTATAGGGACCAACAGGCCCAGACAGACCCAGCAGGGGGATCAGGGAACTCTGGGCAGCAGGAGAAGGGTGGGCTTGAGACAGAGGAGCTCGGCAGGCCCCAGAGGCCAGGGAAACCGCAACCTTCTGCTCCCAGTTCCAGTGGCTCCTAGTGACCTTCTCTCTCTTCTGTCCCCTGCAGGGGAAGTGCCTCAACTTCGCCCTAATGAAGCCCCACTGTGGGCAATTGCACTGCAGCCCTAAGGTCTGCCTTCAACCCAGCCGGGAGTGCTTCTCCGTCAACAGCTGCTGCTCACGGTGCCAATACCCCCCGCCCGTGTGCTCCAGGCTTCCCTCCAGGATGCAGCCGCTCATCTCTCCCCCTGCCCGGCCACGCTGCGGAGCCACGTTGTCACTCCAGCCCCCGTAGCCCAACCTCTAAAGCACCAAGAACCCAAGATTGTTAAGAGCCCTTTGTTTGTTGAATTAGACATATATACTGAGACTTGGTTTACAGTTGAAAGGCATTGGAAGTTGTTGCTGATCAGAGTTTGTTACCTGGTGAGACGTATCTATACTGCTCCTGCCAGGACAAAGCACCCCGGCATCCTGTGGATGTAGACATGATGAGTCCCACTCCCCAAAGCCTGGTCTTCATCTGTTACCAAGGGCTGGGACGCATGGGGTTTTAGTCAAATTCTGCTCTTTGAACAAAGCCCAAAACGTCTTTGAAACATGAATAGTGTCCTGTGTCTCCTTCCCTAATCTGACGCAGAGAGAAGTGCTTGAATTTCTCACCTCCTTCGCTCCGTGCTCCTGGTTTCCATTTTTTGGCTACCTCCATTGCGAATGTGTCTCAGAAAGAGACGAGGCCCTCTACAGTCACCAGCTGGAAGTGCATCTTCCAGAAATGCATCTTCTCTTTCCAGGTAAACCAACCGGTCCCTAGGCGCAGAGGAATTTTAGAGGAGTCTCTCCATTTCCATGAAGTTCCACCTCCCCTATTTGCCATCTGCCACCATAGAAGAAACCGTGCTCCCGACAGAGATGTTTTAGCATGCCGTGTCCTCCCCACCACGCAGGGGGTCTGTATGATACTCCAGTGCCATGCATACAGCCCACGGGAGCACTCAAGGAGGGGTCCCCTGGGGTTGGGGGCCTGGGGGCAATAACCAGGTGTCCCTAATCCGTATTGATAGTAAGTTGAACTACTCTCCACCCTCACTCCCATCTCCTTGAATGTTATATTTATGCCTTTCAGTTGAATTTCTGTAAGACAACTAGAGGCAAAAATATGTCAGGTTTGGGTTTTTCATCTGCACTGATTGAAGTGGATGGATAGTGATGACCATAACTTTCCCTGTGTTCAAAAAAAGAAAATGTACTCACAATACCAAGGAAAGTGTGTGAAACTTTTTTTTTTTTTAGACAGAAAGGGGGTTTAAATAATGTGAAATCCTATAGAGAGATTTTATCTCTTCCTTAGAAGTGGATTATTTTAGATTGTAACTGGTGAAAGCATTGTCCAGGCCTGGGAGGGTCAGGGACACTTTTCTGAAACTGGTTCTGTGCTCCCACATCATATCTATGTGTCTGTGTATACCTGTAAAATAGTACATACCCATCTCTGAGACTCTGTGACCCTAAATGGAGAAATGTATCTATGATTTAATAACGAGCCTAATGTGACCCTGGCTGAAATCCACATGTCTGTTTCTTAATGGATGTTGAGAGCCTTCTCATTTTTAGCCCATCACTCTTT